TGTCCATGCAAAAGACAAGACTCATAGAATTTTCAAAGATACATTTTGGCAAATATTAAACTCAAAATGGCTCAAGAAAACAAGTCTCCATGAGTAAAAGTCAGCAGAATTATAATCTTCCAAAGATTTCAGATATTACAATTACTAGATGCAGAACATAAAAATAAATATATGTGTTAATATGTGTGTTAATAAGCGGGAAAAAAATGGACCAAGAAAGAGATAATATCCAAGTAACCAAACAAATTTTAAAAACAACAAAACAGAAATTCTAGATATAAAAAAATATAATTTCTAAGTTTGAAGTGATAGTATTAAAATCACCTGTGACAGAAGTCAAAAAATTACTGTTAAGTTAGAAAAGAAAGGGAGTGAGGGTGAGGGGAGTATTACACATAGAAAGCAGTAGGGTTCATATGCCTCATTTTCTGTTCTTGAAAAAGTCCTACTATATACACACATATTTATACATTAACATATAAGTAAAACAGAAAATAGAAGATGTGCATCAAACTATTAACAGTGACTACAAGTGGGGAAAGGGATTGGTGGAGACAACTCTGACATACACAGTTATATCTAGTTTAAATTTTAACACTGAGCATGTCTTACTTTTACTAATTTGAAAAAAGTCAGCTGTATGAGTCTTTGTGTTTTCATGGTATATTATGAAAGGGAGGGGGTAAAGTTCAGAAGGTCAGGTAAGAAACCAAGTATGGCCGGGTGCAGTGGCTCAGCCTGTAATCCCAGTACTTTGGGAGGCCAAGGTGAGAGGATTGCCTGAGCCTAGGGGTTTGAGACCAGCCTGGGCGCTTGGTGAGACCTCATCTCTACAATAAAATAAAAAAACTAGCCGGGCATGATGGTGCGTGCCTATAGTTCCAGCTACTTGGAAGGCTAAGGTAGAAGGATTGCCTGAACCCAACAGGTCGAGGCTGCGGTGGCTGGGAGCATGCCACTGCACTCCAGTCTGGGCGACAGAGTGAGATTCCGACTCAAAAAAACAAAAAAAGAAACCAAGCTATAAGAATAGTATAGAAAAAGCAGGGCTTAGAAACTGCTAACAGGAAGTACTCACAAGAATAACTGGTTGACTACTTATGGGTAATAAAGGAGATATCAGATGGAAATGCTTGTGAAGCAAAGTTAGAAGCCCCAGCAAGGCAGTCCTGCTGACAGTCATGGGATGGCGTAAAAGATACTCAGTTCAACATATGCACTAGCAGATATCTGCATAGAACTGACATGCAAAGGAAAAACAAACCAACCATGGGTCCTTCTAGAATGAAAGCAGATGAGGCATTAAAAGTTATATTTATCGAGCCCACCAGGGATGCCCCCCAAAAAAGTTGTATTTAAGGATTTAAACCATGACATTCAATATAATTTTCTAGTAGTTAACAGGAGAGACCAAAAAGTCCAACATCTGAGACTCATAATTGGTGAGTTTTAGGAGAAAACTTCAGAGGACCAAGGAAAAGCAAAAGCCAGAAATCATGTCAAGCAGAAGGTGGCAATAAATAAGCCAAACAGCAGTAAGGTCCAGAGAAATTAAGTTCAGAAAGGTCAGCATATATGCCCAAGAGAAATACTGGTAACCACATGACGAGTGGTTTCTAGATGTGAAATGAACCCACATCTCTAGGAGTTCAGGGCTGAGGTTGAATAAGTCTTCTGCAAGGACTATGCATGTCAGTCTGACCAAACTCTGGACTTAAGTCCCCATACTGAACCACTGACTTCTGGCCCACACAGGCTGTGTGGTTCCTGCCTTAGTTCTCCATCGGTGAATCTGGGTTACAACGGCAGGGTCTACTCACAGAGCTGGCATTTTGACTATATAAAATAAAGGAGATACAGTGCTATACTGTCCTCTACTTGTCATCACCCAAGACTGGCAAAACCCACACATGCCTAAAAGCAGAGAAAAGAAGAGGAAGTTCAGAGATGGTATGTTCTCTCTTCCACATGAAAATACAAAAACACGGAAGCATTCGATACTTTCCTAAGATTACTAGAAAAACCATTCTGGTAATATAATCCTGAGTCCAGAGCTCCACCTACCCAATTACACAGGTTTTGGAAAGGCAAGAAATCCAGAAGTCCTAAATTGCAAGAAAAGATAGAATTCCATCCCCCAATAAAATCTGGGAAAGAATCAGAAGAACATACGTAGCATTTGAGTCAAACAAAAGTCACAAATTGGGTCTACCAACACAAAGAAACAGAACTGGCAAGTAAACACATACCTGCAGCAACATGTGAAAACAAGGATTAAAAAAAAAAAAGAATTAGAAGCTAGCATATTTAAAGTAGAAGGGGACTGCTTCCCATGACTTTCTAGGTGTAGATGACACCCTGTCACACCGTTAGTCTTCAATGGCCTCCACATGTTAATATCAGACTTAGATGGTCACCCTTTATCCTGATGCTCCTACTCACTCACTGCTCAACAAGCAAAGTAAAACTCTGTGTAATTTAGAGTCATGGGCACTGAAAAGACGTGATCTCATTAGTAATCTACTAACTGCAAATTAAGACATTTTGTTTACCTAGAAAAACTAGCAGAGAGCTTCTAAAAAATCCAGTACTAGTGGGATAAGACAGATACCCTCACTCACTACTAGTGTTAAGTACAGATTGATATAATCTTTTTGAAAAAAAATTTTGCATACCAAGAGAGTTAAAAACATGTAGACAGGCTCACACCTGTAATCCCAGCACTTTAGGAGGCCAAGGCAGAAGGACTGAGCCCAGGAGTTCAAGACCAGCCTGCACATCACAGCGAAACCTTTGTCTCTACAAAAAACTAAAAAAACTAGCTGGGTGGCACATGCCTATAGTCCTAGTTACTTGGGAGGCTAAAGCGGAAGGACTGCCCGAGCCCAGAAGGTCAAGGCTGTGGTGAGCCATGATCTTGCCACTGCACTCCAGCCTGGGTGACAGAAAGAAACCCCTGACTCAAAAAAAAAAAAAAAAAGACCCAAACAAAAAACATGTAGATAATTTGTCCTAGAAATTCCCATGTCTAGGATTTTACCCTAAGGAAATAATTTGAAAACTTTGCATAAAGACATTACTGTCTTTTGTAATAGCAAAAAACTGTAACAACTTAAGTGTCAAACATGAAGAAAATTAGGGGAAGTAAATTATAATATACTCATTGAGTCAAGCATTACATAGCCACAGAAATACTTTCTAAAAATTTATAATATGAAGAAATGTATGCCAAAGTAAAAGTTAAGAAGAGACATATTGATTACACATTTTAACCATGTTAGAAAAGTATACAGATATAGGGCCGGGCTCGGTGGCTCAGCCTGTAATTCTGCGCTTTGGGAGGCCGAGAGGAGTGAATTGCCTGAGCCCGTGGGTTCGAGACCCACCAGGGCAACTTGGCAAGACCTCATCTCTACAATAAATAAAAAAAATATTAGCTGGGCATGGCAGCGCATGCCTGTAGTTCCAGCTACTTGGAATGCTGAGGCGGAAGGATTGCCAGAGTCCAGCAGGTTGAGGCTGCGGGGGCCGGGAGCATGCCACTGCACTCCAGTCTGGGCAACAGAGTGAGACTCCAACTCAAAAAAAAAAAAAAAAAAGTATACAGATATAAACACTAGAATGAAATAGGGTAGACTGCAATATGTGGAAAATTCACATTTATAATTTCTACTACTTCAAAAAGAACTTAAAGGTCCATGACTGGTAATAATTTGTAATTTTTCTGAAGTTTGAGTCTGAAACATGTACCAGGTAGTTGAAATTCAGTGTCACTTAGAGAGAGGTTGGGCTAGGGAACAAGCGGGTGACTAGGGGACGAGAGAGTGACCTAGGGGATGAGAGGGTAAAATGGGGGAAGAGGGTAAGAAGGCAGAGGAGAGGGCAGGAGGCGAGACGAGGATGAGGGGCTATACCTGTGTCTTCCCTGTACAAGTCCCCTGCCCCAATTCTCAAGTTAGAGGGAGTGCTCCTGTAGGAGAAGGGGAAAATGGGTGCAGTCGAGGCAGGGCAGCACCAGTCACTGATAAGTTTAACACCAACAACTGAGGGTGGCTTTATTGTTGTGTCCAAGTATAAGAAAATCATTTTTTTAGATACACTGTATTTTATGGGAGCCATCATATCCTATTAGTGCTATTTGTGAATGAGGGGGTTCACAAAGGACTTAGAGTATATCCCGTTGGGATACCATAAGTATGCTATATATCAAAATATTAAAACTACTTAGACGGTGATAGTATATGAAAACGTTTGAGCCAGGTGTGGTGGCTCATGCCTGTAATCCCAGCACTTGGAGCTGAGGCAAGAGGATTTCCTGAGCCTACAGGCTCGAGACCAGCCTGGACAACATGGTGAGACCTCATCTCTACAGTAAATCGAAAAATTAGCTGGGAGTGGTGGCATGCGCCTGCAGTTCCAGCTACTTGGCAAGCTGAGGTGGAAGGATTGCCTGAGACCAGCAGGTTGAGGCTGCTGTGGCAATGAGCGTGCCACTGCACTCTAGCCTAGATGACAGAGTGAGACCCTCTACTCAAAAAAAAAAGTTTGTTTTTTATTTATGACTTTTTGTATTTTGCTGTTGTTTTGACTATGGCCTAAAAAGGCGCTGAAATCCAGAACAGTACTTACTGTCACTACCCTCTGATAACAAAGTATAATGTATACACTTTATATAATACTTTTTCATGATATATCCAATTCATGCATATAAAATATTTCCAATACTTGTTTTTGTCTTCTATTTTTAGAGACAGTCTTGTTATTTGTTCAGTCTGATCTCAGACTCCTGGGTTCAGCAATCCTCTTGACTTAGCCTCCCAAAGTGCTGAGATTATAGGTGCGCACCACCACGCCCAGTTCCCTTTTTGTATTTTTTAAATGTTCCACAACAAGGTAGATGGAAACTAAAAATTAACTTAGTTCTAGAATATGAGACCTTTTCTTTCCTCAGTCATAACCAAAAGAAGGTGGAAAACAAAGCTCTTGTGTCTCTTGCTCACCTTATAGCACCTGTATTTATACAGAACCACCAGGAGGATAGTCATGACAACAATGACGCTGATCATGATGGCAGCATTCAGAATTGAGTGCAGGGCTCTCTGGCCCACAGTCTCGGTGTCTTCTGTAAATGGGGTATAGATTCTATAATAAAACAAAACACAAAAGCCTCAGGTAAGTTCTAACAGAGTTCTCAAACCACAAATCACCCCCAGCATAGAACTTTGTTTTCCTTGAGTCGATTAATAACTTATGTAAGTTACATTTCCTCATCTCACCAATCTAACTAAGAATTTTTAACCTAAGAAGAATACCTGAAGTCTAAAATAATCACTTCAAAATAAAAGAAAATATCTAACATAGGGAGAGGAGGACTTGCATGGGAGTCAGACACTGGCTCCACCCAGTGGTTGCTCTGTACTGAAATAATCACCTCATTGGATGTTCTTTTTCTATAGCTTACTAGACATTTGTTAAAGAACCAGATTGTGTCACATAAACTAGGTTGACAAGCAGCTGTCAGAGGAAAGGTAATCTAGTTTATAACTATTGTCTTTCATCTGCAGAGTGATTGCAACTGGAGCTGTCAACAACGTCATACATCCTTCTTCCCTGTTTCTCATTCACATAAAAGCATTATTGTTCCAGATGTCAATGTTCCCAGCCAAAAGAATTTATTTCTGATGCTCTTATGTTCAGGTGTGGCCACAAGAATTAAATAATGGCCAGTGAGTTACGGGAAGATGTCTTGTGTATAGAATCTAAGACAGAAGGGACTTCTGGAAAGTCCTGGTCCTTTTCTCTCCACACTTTTCTGCTGTCTGAATGAAGGCCACAGCTCCAGCCCGGGACCTGAGGTAACCTAGAGAGTGGAAGGTGAAGAACAAAGAAGGGGCCTGAGTCCCACTACCATCTGGATTACTACCTCTGCACTACTCCATGGGAAAGAAACTATGCGTACGATTTAAGCCAGTTGTTTTGATGTTCTGTAACAGGGTCAGCAAACTTCCTGTAAAGGGCTGGATAATAAGTATTTTAAGTTTTGTGGGTCCTCTAAACTGTGCCACCAAAGCATGAAAGCAGCCACAGGTGATGCCTAAACAAATGGGCACAGTCATGTTCCAAGGAAAGTCCATTCACACGATCAGGCAGCTGTGGCCTATTAACCCTTCTTCTGTTATATGATGCCAATTCTAAACCTAACCCTGACCTACACAGAGAGTATGCCCCAACCATTTTGACTGTTGTCTCTAACCCCTGACCTTCACTCACTGTCTCAGCTGTTCTCCCAAAATGCTAAAACAGCTTGGTTTACAGAACACCACAGTTTTTCAGACCCTTGACAATCTCAAATTCTGAAAGTCACGTAAACTCTTCTTTGGGTCCCACGAGAACTAGATGACATCTGACCTGAGTGTTTTTCTTAGAAGCCAAGGGCTATACCAGCAGCACTAGGGAATCCACATGATAGCTACCCAAGAGTCTAGAGAGTGCCACCTTGCATCAGTTATTCATTCTTACAATTAACAATTTTTTTGTCAACCATTTATTATATACCTCACCCTGGAGATAAAGTACCTTCATAGACCTTGCAGTACAGAATGAAATCAGACATTAAATAAACAATGTAAACAAAAACACATTTGCAAATTGTGACAAGTGAGAAAGAACAAGTTGCTCTGAGAAAGAATACAAGGAAAGACCTAATTCTGTGACGAGAATCAGGGAAGTTGTCTTTGAGGATTTAACATTTAAGCCAAGATAACAAGGATGTTAGGAATTTGATCCACCAAAGTTAGAAAAGGAAAGAATATTCCAGGCAGAAGAATGATGGGTCCAATGGCCCTGAGGTGGAAAAGGATACTCTTGCTGTGCTCAGTTTCAAATGACTTCAGTCCTACCCAGCGACGCCACAGGAAACATGTCTGCAGAGTGCATTCTCCACTCATGCTGTCCACTGCTTCTGGCCATCAGAGAGGAAAGACTCTACGACCATCATGCCCCTTCAGTACAGAGGCCTCAAGGTGATGGTGACGCACTGTAAAAAAAAAGCCACACTGGCCTCAAGGACAATAAAACAAAACACTTATACGTACAGCTGCCCATCCTTCCGGGTATAAAAGCTGACAGATTTGATGGTAGCCACGACTACCACCATGCAGAGAGTCACAGGAACGAAGAGCATGATCACGTGTTTGGCACCATACTTCAGCGTAAGCTCCTCGTCCTCTTCCTCATCTTGCTCCACCACTGGCCGGGAGCTACCCTGGGGCCGTCCATTGGACAAGGGTTCAGGGGGGCCAAGCCTCCGCCTGTCGCTGTGCTCCTGTCGTTCTCTACTGTCATTCTAAAACAAAGAAAAACTTTTTCAGTAAATCAGACTCCCAGGAGAATCAAGGTATTTTTACGTTTTAGGGATGGGGGTCTCACTACATTGCCTGGACTGGAGTGGCCATTCACAAGTTTGATCCCACTACTACTATCAGCTCAGAATTTTGACCTGCTTTATTTCCAACATAGATGGGTTCAGCCTCCTTGAGCAGCTTGGTGGTCCCCCTCCTCCAAGAGGACACCTTATTGATGCTAACCTTATTGTTGACACCCAATTAGCACAGCTCACTACAGCCCAGAACTCCTGGGCTCAAACAATCCTCTCGCCTCAGTCTCCCAAGTAGCTGGGACTACAGATGAGTACCACCATGCTTGGCAGAATCAAGGTATTCTATATAAACAACAGAAAAGGGAACAATTAGACCGGGGATTAACAACAGGTCAGTCATGACGTGTGAGTTCTAAAAACCTGAAGGAAGAAAGAACCAATTCACAGGAAGTATGCAGATTAACAATCTAGGCTATTCATCTCAGGGCCTCCCTTCTACCTGGGTCTTGGGTTAGTGCATTCTCAACTGAACACACCTGCACTCATCCTTTGGGGTGTACTTTACACCCTGACACATGCACGAAACCTTCTTTATCTGCTGCAGCTGCAGGCAGAGTTTCCACACCTTTCAAATTTGTGAAGTGCCTTCTGATAGTGAGTCCATAACAGTTATGCAAGAAACCATTGTACCTTCGTTATTAATAAGACTTTACAATCCTTACAGTGATGTTCAAGTGCCCTCATTTCTTACAATTACATGTAAAGCTACAATTATCTCAAAAAAGTATCCTATTAAAAAGATCCTTGGCCGGGCTCAGTGGCTCAGCCTGTAATCCCAGTGCTTTGGGAGGCCAAGGTGAGTGGATTGCCTGAGCCCGCAGGTTCAAGACCCGCCAGGGCAACTTGGTGAGAGCTCATCTCTACAATAAATCAAAAAAAATCAGCCAGGCGTGGTAGAGCGGGCCTGTAATTCTGGCTCTTCGGAAGACTGAGGTGGAAGGATCGCCGGAGCCCAGCAGGTCGAGGCTGCGGTGCCAGGAGCGTGCCACTGCACTCCCAGTCTGGGCGACGGGGTGAGACTCCAACTCAAAAAAAAAAAGATCCTCAGAGAGAAACTAGGTCTTAAGCAATTCTGACGGCTCCTGTCTCTACCTTCCCCATGCCCAGTGTGTTCTGCACAGAGTAAGGGAATGATAAATACTTGATGAATGACTAAAGGGAATGAAAACCTTTCTTAATTCTACTTTCCACCTTAATCCAGATACCATCCTGTTACTTTACCCTTATTTTGAGCTTATCTTTTCCTATTCTTCAAGTCCAATTTCTTTTTTTGGTATCACAGTTCATGTTTTAAAATTCAGCTTTTGTAAAGGGTAGGGTGAATAACAAGAGCAACAACAATAAAAATAATAAGCAACTTGCCAGGCATGGGGGTGCACACCTATAGTCCCAGCTACTGGGGAGGATCCCATGAGGCTAGGAGTTCAAATCAAGCCTGGGCAATATCGTGAGATCCCCATCTCTAAGAAAAAAATAAACAAACTAAAAACAAATAAATAGATAAATAAAAGTAATAGGTGACAGGGGGGAAAAAAACAGGCATTTCTCCTTGTCTCATACAAGTAAATAGGAGATGAAAGTAGACTGACAGTCACTGCGGCTAGTCAAATGAATCTGATTAAGTTAGAGCTCTCTTAGAAAGGTCATCTGAGAACAAGCCACGCGTGTACCTAATTTCTGACTACACAGTATAAGTAAGGATTACCATAGAGTATTACTGTTATTCATTAAAAATACATTTCACATTTAATGATAGCTTAAAATGATTATCATGTGCCAGGGACTGTAACATGTACTTTATACCTAATTCTCACAATCATCTCATCATCACTGTACAGGTGAAGAACAGCCACGGCCAGGGAGTGCTACTGAGAGGGTGTAAACCCAGTAGGGCCTGATTCCAGAAATTAAGTTCTTAACTGCCTCTTAATCTGCCATTCACAACATGGGAGCTCTGCAGACTCAGTGTGAGCTGTGGGTTCTCTTTTATTTTACTTACAATATCTTCATCCCATAGGTTAATTATCAAATTCCCATGTCTCAGGTACTCTGCTGTGGCAACACTGAAATTAATTAGATCTAGACCCTGTCCTTAAAACTAATTTAAAGCTGGGCATGGTGGTGCATGCCTATGGTCCCAGATACTTAGAAGCCTAAAGCAGGATTGCCTGAGTCCAGCAGGTCAAAGTTGCAGTGTCCATGAGTGAGACTCCAACTCAAAAAAAAAAAAACTCAGCAAAAAACAAAAAACAAAAAACTAACTTAAGTTAATTTTAGAAAGGTTGTAAAGAATTTTTGCTTGCCATACCAAGGACTTTAGACTTTATCCTACAGATAATAGAAAGACATAAAAATTGTTAAGGTTGAGGAAGTGACACATCAGAGATTTCATTTTTAAGGAACTTGATTGATTGGCAATAAAAAATGAGAGATGTGGCCGGGCTCGGTGGCTCAGCCTTTAATCCCAGCACTTTGGGAGGCTGAGGTGAGTGGATTGCCTGAGCCTGCGAGTTCGAAACAAGCTCGGGCAACTTGGCGAGACCTCGTCTCTACTTAAATAAAAAAATTAGCCGGGTGTGATAGTGTGCGCCTGTATTTCCAGTTACTTGGAAGGCTGAGGTGGAAGTATCACCAGAGCCCAGCAGATCGACGCTGGAGTGGCCGTGAGCATGCCATTGCACTCCAGCCTGGGTGACAGAGACTCCAGTTCAAAATAAAAAAAAGAAAAAATGAGAGATGTATAAGAAAGACATTTCAGAAGTTGAATTAACAGAGCTTTGTTACAAATTATGTGTGAATCATTAGGAAAGAGTTGAGGCTGACTCGAGGTTTTTAGCATAAGGGATGAGGTGGGTAGTGACAGCACTGAGAGGGAAAAGGAACACAAGAAGATGAGCAAGCTGGAAGAGAGGAGAAACACTTTAGAGACTGCGGTGAACCTGGAGTTCCTACCACCAGGCAGGTAAGTGCAAAGGCAGTCAACAACAGGAATTCCAAGTTCAGAGGACAGCAGGAGAAAGTCAAGTCTCTATAACCTCAGAAATGGATGAAAGCTCAGGGAGAGTATAAAAGAAAAACAGCTGTGAAAAGCAGATGAGGAAGGAAAAATATGGAGAACAAGACCAAGGACAGAAGTGTAAATGAACCCTAAGCTGAAGCAGGTTATGGGAGAAAATCAGCAGAAGAGGCACAAGAGCAGGGGAGAGGGAAGAAAAGGCAGGATTACAACACAGAAGCCAAAAGCAGCACACAATTCAGAGAGGGGGCATCAGCAGTCGGGCATGATGAGAACTAAAAAGTCACTGACTTTGGCAATGGGAAGTTCTCCAGGGGTTTTACAAAAGTAAAATCGAAGAGGTTAATCAGATCATAATTCATAGCGGCCTGGGAATTGAATGGAAATTGAGACAGTAAAGGCAGTCATTCTTTGAAGTCAAAAAAAAAAAAAGGTTTGACAACAGAGAGGGATTCGAACTTGAAATAGTTAAGGGCTGTTAGAGACATACTTGCTTGAGATCAGAAGAAGAGACTGAGTATACAAAATGGGGGGATGATTACTAGTGGAATGGGGTAGGGGATAACAGAAGGGCATTATAGTTGGAATGTGTCCCCCAAAAGCTCCTGCATTGGAAACATTGTTACCATCGTGGTGGTGCTGAGGTGGGACCTCTGGGAGGTGACTGGTTGGTGGTCTCTGTTTGATGAGTGGATTACAGGTTGAGCATCCCTTCTCTGATATGTTTGGGACCAGGAGTGCTTCAGATTTCAGATTTTGAAATATTTGCATTATACTTACTAGTTAAGTATCCCAAATCCAAAACACTCCAATAAACATTTCCTTTGAGCATCATATGCTGGAGCTCAAAAAGTTTCAGACTTAGTAGCATTCTGGATTTCAAATTTTTGGAGTAGGGAGTCTCAACCTGTAATGTCATTATCGCAGGAGTGGGATGGTAATTGCAGGAATGGCCTTGTTACAAAAGCAAGCTCTCTCCTGCAAGCAGTGTCTTGCCCTTCTGCCTATCTGCCACGGGATGACCCTCTTCAGATGCCAGTGACATGCTCTGGAATTTTCCAGCCTTGAGAACCATGAGCTGAATAAACTTTTTTTTTAAATAAAGTATCCAGTCTGTGGTATTCTGTTATAGCAACACAAAAAAGAGTAAGACGGCCGGGCTTGTTGGCTCAGTCTGTAATCCCAGCACTTTGGGAGGCCAAGGCGAGTAGATGGCCTGAGCCTCCGGGTTCAAGACCAGCCTGGGCAACTTGGCGAGACCTCATCTTTACAATAAATCAAAAATCAGCTGGGTATGGTAGTACATGCCTGTAGTCCCAGCTACTTGGAAGGCTGAGGTGGAAGGATTGCCAGAGCCCAGCAGTACGACACTGGGGTGGCCGTGAGAGCCCAGCAGTACGACACTGGGGTGGCCGTGAGCATGCCACTGCACTCCAGCCTGGGCAACAGAGTGAGACTCCAACTCAAAAAAAAAAAAAAAAAAAAAGAGTAAGACAGAGGAGAACAAAAAAAAGAGAGAAGAGTGGCTTTATGAAGGTGCTGCCTTCCTCAGTCTGGAGTCAGGAAGTCAACTGTTTGACCACACAGAGAAAATAGTGATGAGCCCCAGTCCTACGAGGAATGGAAAGGAAACTATTCCAAAGCATACAAGGTAGGAACATACACATCACCCATCAAGAAAGTTCATTTTTGCTGAGCACAAGTCACCATAGTGGCCAAAGTCCAGCAGAATGGAAATGGCTACAGGAAGGTGAGGGCTGGAAGGCAGGGCAGACCGTGACAGACAGCAGAGGCGCAGGAGTGAGAGCTCATCCTTGTATCTTTCCAGAGAGGGAGAGGACTAAGACATGTGCTAAGAATGTTCCATCTGCAGTTAATGTTCAGCAGTTCA